TAATTAATCAGTTTAAGTAATGCCCTATTCGGTCAACATAATTAGAAATCACACATGATTATATTTAATTCAAGCTTTATCAGTCGATTTTCAATAATTTTTTTATTTATCTCGCAAATTTAATTTTCAATTTTTGTTCGAAAATTTATCTTCTAAATTTTATTATTTAATACCATTGAATTTAAAAGAGTGTTGCAACATTATCCCGAATAATAAGATAAAAAAAGTTTGGTTTTTAAAGTCGCCACTAGGTGTCGCATGGTTCTGCTTTCTGTCCGCTTGAAGAAACGTATTCCATAAGTATTAAGTCAAAAAGTTAAATCAATTGGATGAAAGTTATTTCCTGAAAAATTCTGATCTTTACAGTAATTCGAAATTACTTCGATAAACTTTGAATATAATTATAAAATAAAAAAAAAAAATTGTGCTAAATTGAAAATTAAAAATTGTCATCAAAAGAAATGATCTATAATAACCTGAATCACTTATTTTAATTATATTTACTGGGATCTGAAATATTTTTTTCGATAATTATAAAACTAAAGTTTTTCTTTTTGAGTATTTTTAATCTCACAAGATGTCTTTAAGAATTGTACTTTGAAATGTATCTAGGAGCATTTTTCTATTAAAATAATATTCTCTACAATCGTAGAAATTTTTTCAAATGTATTTTTGTAAAATTAAAATTGTTAGTTTCTTATTTCTATGGGTTTTATTACCTTTTTTAATTCACGTTTTCTAAATAACGTTCATTGAATTCATTGTCTCATTCACAACATTTTGCCAAAAGATTTGAAATTTTCTCTTCTACCAGTTGTACTTTAACCTTCATTTCATTTTTTGTGATTAAAAAATTCATTTTGTGATGTTCACAGCATTCGACTATTCTCGATAATTCGCTGTAGATATTTTTCATTTTTTACTGATTATCAAATTGCTAAAGTATCTAATTTGTTTTTGATGGAAATAATTCTTAATTTTTGTATCAAAATTCTAGCTTGTACTTTTTTAAGGTATTAAAATTTAATCAGAATATTTTTTAATGGAAATATTGTCTAAAGATAAATTCAATAATTTTTGTATGATTGCAATTAAAAGTCAAAAAAAATATTTTTTTAATTTCCTTTCGAATTATTAAAAAATTTTTAAAGTCAAAATCCCGGAAAATTTTGTTATTAGAAATAAAACAATTTATTAAACGATAGAATAAGTAGAAAAAGTAAAAAAGGTATTTTTTTCAGTAAAAAAAATTGTTATCTCGTAAATTTGAATTTTAATTCAGTTCAAAAATTTAATCGTATAAATTTTATCAAATTATTCAATATAATTAAATTTAAAAGAATGTTGCAAGATTATCCCAAATAATAAGTAGATAAAAAACCTTAGTTCTAAAAGTCGCCGCTAGGTGTCGCATGGTTCCGCTGTCCGTCCGCTTGAAGAAACTTATTCCATAAGTGTTAAGTCAAAAAATTAAATCAATTTGATAAAAATAATTTTTTAAAGAGTTTTTATCTTTAAAATAATTTTTAAGTAATTTGAAATTATTTTGTTGAATTTTAGGCTTAATTTTATAAAGCTAAAGTTTCTCTTTGGGTATTTTTAACAATTACAAGATGTCCTTAATAATTGTTCTCTGATATAGTTTTAGGAACATTTTTCCATCAAAATAATATTTTCGACAATCATAAAAATTTCGAAAATGGATTTTCAAAAAAAATTGAAACTATTCATTTGCTTTCAAGCTGGTTTATAACCTTTGTTTTCCAATGTCATTTTTAAATAACATTTATTTAATTAATAAGATGTTTTATACTCTTTACTATATTCTTTGATGAGTTCTGAGATATTTTTCGATTTTTCGGACTTTTCCTTTCTTATTACAACTTCCATGTTATTATATGCGGTTGAAAAATTTAGTTTTTCTTGATGTTCCCAGATAGCAATATGACGTCTTTTACAGTTCTCAAAGAACTCTTATTTAAGATTTAGACGTCAGAATTTTGATCAAAATGAGGTCTCCAAGACGTTTTGAGGACGTCCAATGCGCCACCTAAAGAGTGAATCAGGACTTCATAGAGAGAGTTCTTAAAGAGCTCTTTTTTCTGACTTCAAAAAAAGAGTTCTTCAAGAAGTCAGAATTAAGAGCCCTTTCTGACTCCAGAAAAAAATAGTTCATAGAGG